ATATATGAATATGCACATATCCTATTATTATGTACAACTATAATTCACCAATTTAAAAACAATGGGAAAAGGGGGAGGTGCAAGTGTGAAATAAAGAGGTGATCAAAGTGATCAAAGTGAGCCAAGTGGAAAAAAAAACCTGTTTAATCTATGTGACTATCTATGGGAACCACTTTTCAAATAGTGGAAAAAGCCAATACAAAGTTCTAAGGTGATAATGCAACTGGCTTCAGTAGAGCGGCACCAAGACAATATAGTCAGAGTACATTAAGAGAGAAGAAAATGAGTATAATAAAAGCGATCTGATAGCAGATCTTGTAGGGCCTGGGAAGTTTGGAAATCAGTTGTGGGTGTTAGGGAGAGAAGTGACAATATCTGGCTATTATTTAACAAAGTCATTAGGCTGCAATGTAAGAATGAACAGTGATGAAGGATGGGATCTGACTGAGAAAATATAATAATCTAGGTAACAGGTGATAGTAGGTTGGATGAAGGTGGTATTAGGAGGATGAGAGAAGTACTTAGATCCTGTAGATATCTTATAATCAATAGTTTCCTCATAAATTAGATGTGAGGTGTGAAAAGAAGCCAGAAGTAAAGATGACTCTACAGTTGGTGGCCTGAGTCACTGTATGTAACTACCATGAAAATGGAAAAGATGGTTGGGTCAGGTTTGCGAAGGGAAATCTCAACTTAATTTTTGGAGTGCTTACAAATTGTTTATTAGATATCCAATCTGATTTATTAAGTATACAGGTCCAAGCTGGATATGTAAGTTAGGAGATAACATAATACTAACATTTTTACAGCTTATGATCAAATGAAAAAAAATTAAGTGTAAACAAAGTTGAACACATAAAAAGTCAATTCTTTAAGTAGAAAATGAATAATTCCTGACTTCATAAGAAAAAAGGATTTATTGTATCTTTTCTAGAATTTACTTACATGTCTTAATAGTCTTCCCATTTTCTCTTTAAAAATTATTGTATCTAGTCAAAACATTTCATATTTCAAATCATAGAATTTGTTAAATTGCTTTCCACTAACCAGCAAGAAAATAGTTATTCTGTATTCTGAGTCATCTGCTGCAAGGAACTCAGAAAATTTCAACACTTGCTTGTCTTAATACTAAAAATGGAATTGTCTCTTTCAATGTTTTGCCCTCCAAAAAACCTAAATAATGTTCTTGTTATATGTCTGCAGTTTTGGCTTCAGTTTTATTTTGGTCCCATTACTAAAAATTGGATTCATGCCTAGAATTTCTCCAAAATAACAATAATAAAAAATCCTGGTTTTTAAATACAATGTTCAAATGGAAATCACAGACTTTGAGAAAGAAAGTTATTAGCTTAAATTTTAAAAATACCACTTTGTTTCACTTGTCCTTTTTATATACTCCTCCTGTCATTCACTAATGATTACAATGGAATAGAATAAGTGAGATATTTAGAACTCACCTAATTCAGAAGAAAAGGGGATTGGATAAGAACTTTGATAGAGGAGCCCACTCAGGAGTGTAGTAAAATAGTATTAATTTGTTTTAAGTTCTACATTTTACTTCTATTTCAAGTAGAGGTATTTATGTTACTCTTATTTCCGACACTAATTTTTCCCATTAATCTTACTTTTGGATATTCATTTGCATTTTATACATATGAGAAACTTGTAGTTAATTTCCCTCTGTAGCCGCTTATACCTCGTGAGACCTGGACCTCAGCCCAAGGTCTTTGTGTTTCTTACATGTTGCCCAGCATAGAACATAAAGCTAATCTTTCTAGTGTTCTACTAGTATAGAAGTATGTGTTTTACCTCTAGAAGACAAAACGCAATAGAGATTAAGAATGTGGGCATTGTTTTCTATCATATATGGAAACTAGAGAGAAATAAAGAATAAAAAATAAAAGGGATGGATGACAAGAGGGAATCCCATGAAAGTAGAGGGAATAACAGTGGAGTAGAGGAAAGGAATGAAGGGTGAGGGAGGAGGGATGGGAAAGGGAGGAAATGAGGAAAGAAATTGACCACACTGTTCTGTGCATGTATGAATGTACAGTGAACTCCACTTTCATGTATAATTACAGTGTAACAATTAAAAAGTAATAAATAAATAGAAGAAAGATCAATTAGGGAGAGAAACCAGTGAGGAAAAAGAGGAATAAAATGGCAAATACTGGGGTTTGAAATGGAGAAAAATGTGTTATCTATGTATTAACAATACAAGACGAACCACACTAGTATGTCTAATTACAATGCACTAATAAAAACCAATTTAAAACAAAGAACATAGTATTTGGAGAGGGATATCTAGTTGTCACTCTGGGCCACTTCAAATAAACCAAAAAGATGGAGTAAGAATTAAAAACTATTAGGCATTATTGCAATGAGCTATTTTTAGGGTAATAAAAGCTGGACTATTATATGATTTTTTTTAAGATGGACTAAATAAGAATTAGATTGTTCTAAAGAATCTAATTTGAGTTTTATTTTTTACTTTCATTGAATCACTTTGTTTTCATCATGAGAATATTATGTTTTTCCTGGCTTCACAGCTGGCAGTAAAAATTAATATGATCTGAATCTATAATATTAGCTTCTTTTGTTATTATACAACTGCGGCTTTTTTCCTCCTTACCTTACCTATAACTTGTTGATTTGTGTTCGTTTATTGGGGTAAGCAGACAAATATGAAATTTGTGACTTTTCATATCATTGTAAGAATATCCTGGACATGATATGATGGCTATTAAAATAATTAGACATGAAATAGAGACCGAAAAAAACCCACTGTTCATAATGACTTTCATGTGTGAGATGCTAAAAATCTGTAAGAATCAGGCAAAGTGTTCAGCTTTCAGCAGTTCAAGTTAGAACTGCACATTGGAACAATTAGTTTCACTTCATAAAAAAAACAAACATATTTTCTTGTCCCAAACTGTATTTCTTGTCCTGCTCAGCTGTCTGAAAATTTCTGATGTTGCAGAGGAAGTCCCTAGAGGAATATCTATGATTCAACACGTATTAATCACAATTGCTGGATGCAAAAAGGTCCCCTACAAAATGATGTATCAGTAGCATACATGATCATGTGTTAAAATTTCAGAGAAAGCCACACATTTTTCTATTACTATTATTAAGGTTCAGCAGGAGCTCATAAACTTTTGGTTCCATGGAAGACGTTGCCATTCTTCCAGAAACTAATTTAAATTTACAAACTATGTAATATTCAACATCAAAACAGAAATATAAGATACTTAAATGTATATGTAAATTTTGTCGATGAATTATGTCATAGTATTTCACTATAGTGATGATATGAAAGGAAAAATAAAACTCAGATTCTTTAGAACAATCTAATTCCTATTTCATTCCTATTTTTAAAGTAGTAATTACTATCCAATATTTCAACATATCTTAAGTATGAATAATCATAAGAAGTGAAATGTATTGTGACTTTTATTGCTCCAAAGTCACCAGTTTTACCAAACAACACTATGGTTTGCTATTTTCTTAATTGTTGAAAATATTATATAACAATTAGAAAAAAGTAAAAAATATTCTCAGTTATTTCCTCTGGATTGAAAAAATACATAAAACTATTGATCTGAACTACTTATAAACACTAGAGTTTCTCTATGTAAAAATGAATTATGGAATTCATTTTTTTACCTAGAAAAACTCTAGTGTTTAATATTAGAAAAATTGACCTTCACTTTGTGCTTATTTCAAATGGACTATTTTAGAAGTAGGAAAACCGTATTGATATAAATTAATGACAGAAAGGTTGAATGCATTTCAATAAATCTATACACTATTAAATTGTAGTGCTATTTTCTCCTAACCATTAAAGGAGAATTTTTAGAAACCAGTGGTGATAAAATCTTCTCTTATACTAAATCTTTAGATTCCTATGTAGTAAAACACACCTTTTCAGAAAAGCAGAGTCTAGGTTTGATGATTCCTCCTTCAAAGAATGGTCATATAGGGACTTCCTAAGAAAAATTATTAGAAATGAAATTTTTGTCAATTTCTTAAATTTAAAAAGAAAGCAAACTTATACATACACATTAATATAATTTTCTTAGGTATAATTGAATGACTTAATTCTGGTAATAATATTTGAAATTTTATAGCTATTAAAATATTATGATGAAATTATCTCTTTACAGGATACTTTTAAGAACTTTCAATTGGTAATAAATATATCTTTAATCTATTAATTTCACATAAAATTATAAATTGGGGCTCATCTTAGTCTGGTGTGGCTGGTATAACAAAATTATATAAACTGTGAGGCTTGTAAAAGATGGACAGTTATTTCTCATAGTTCTGGAGGCTGCAAAGATCAAGGCACTGGCAGATTTGATGTTTGGTGACTGCCTATTCTTCACACAAAGGGCCTTCTTGCTGTGTCTCATATGGTAGGAGAAAAGAGTTTTCTGGCACCTCTTTATTGAGGGCAACAATTTCATTAATGAAGATTCTGCTATTATCACTTCCTAAAACCTCCAACTATTGATGTTTTTACCTTGGGTGTTAAGGTTTCAATAGCTGAATTTTGAGGTTACAGAAACGTTCTGACTAGAGTGTGAAACAAGAAGACTTGGAAAAGACAAAAATAGGTGTGGTATTTTGTTAAGGTTATAGTCTTTTTTCCCTTTTATTTAAATATTTCATCAGCAAGTCACTCAAATGCCTTCTTCTTATGTTCTGTGAACCTTTGTTTAAACAGTCATCACTCTTTATGTGGTAATAATTATAATAATTAATTGCAGTATTTTTAAAAAATATAAATATTCTGGATTTGAAAATAGAGGATCAAACAATAAGCCTGGTACTTCTGTTTCCTGATTTATGTTTTTAATGGATCTTTAATGTATTTCTTTTTTTTTTTTTTTGGTAATGATACTAGTTTTAAAAAAATCCATATGTATAGCAAGAAAAGTGTCACACAAGAAGGGTATCCTAACACAATTTTTTAAATGTTTTGGTTTTTACTTAAGGCTGAGCAAGACAATGGCCATCCCCTCCCTGCCTTTGCCAGTTTACACATTGAAATACTGGACGAGAACAACCAGAGCCCCTATTTCACAATGCCAAGCTATCAAGGCTACATCCTTGAATCTGCCCCAGTGGGAGCAACCATTTCTGACAATATAGATTTAACCACTCCTCTAAGAATTATAGCTCTGGACAAAGACATAGAAGATGTAAGTGAAATATGCATTTTTTCCTTTTATTTTGTTAATACTTATTCTTATATTTATGTTGTTTTAATAAAAATGTTACAAAGATATGGCTGCATAAACTATAGAATACAGGATATTTAAAATCATTATAATGATTTAATTCCATACTAAAGATGTTTTTTAAAAATGTGTTTGAATTCATTAACTGTTCTTTTTCAGTTTGCAGCAGTTCAGTATACAATAGAATAGGAAATGTTTCACTTGGGGTTTGCTAAGTCACCAGGGCAATCTTTTGTATTAATATAAATTAAAAACTGTTTTACATAATTACTGATAGGGAAAAAAATAATGCTGTTACAAAGTGAAAATGAAAATCATGACAGTAGCCCAAGAGTGTGATTAGGGGGAATTTATGCCATCTGTTGGTACTCTCTTAAAGAAAACACATTTGGGGACAAGTGATGGACTCAAGTCTGGTAGTGGCTATTGATATGACCACTCCTCCATCGTTGTCTTCTGGTTTTGTGGAACTGACCCTATCAGCATGAGTGGAAAGTGATCCAGGTTGGACAAATCAGAGTACTTTACTGCCTTAGTGAGAGTCATTTTATGTGTGGACTTGACAGAAAATCTATACCAGAGTTTTCCTCAAATATACCTTCATGACACATATTTCCTTACAGAAAAAGCTTCTAGTTCAGGTACAAAATATTCTATATTTGCTATCCTGAACATTTCTTCATCCTCAATTTCTGACATTTCTGCTTTACTCACTGCATTTATCAATTACTTGTAGTTCCCTGCATTCACCAAGCTATGTTTTACCTAATTTTGTTACATATTTTTATGTTTTGAAAACTTTCATCTTCTTTTATCCAGAGCAGCATGGATAGCTTATATTTAATCTATGATTTTATAATTCAGCTTAGGCATTTCCTTACACAAAAATATTTCAGGGCATTCATTGCCCAAGTTGCATTGCAAACACCCTCACAGTGCATGTCTCTATGACTCATCCAATTTTGTAAAGTGGATCTTTCTCCCTCATGGAGTTTAAATTTCTTGGGAAAATGTCCTATATGTTAATAACATATGTATCCTGAATAGTACCAGTTCTCAGCACTCGATAGATTTTAATAGTTCTTCAATTTAATGATAAATTCAGACATGATTGAAGAAATGATAATATCTAATATATGATTCAAAAATTATAATGATATTAAGTTAGTTAATTCCATAATTTGGAATATAGCCCATTCCATGGTTAGACAATTCAATTCTGAGACAGTTCTTCCTTATATTGCTATGAAACCAACCTACTTGGAACTCACTTATTTTCTTTAAAATTTCAATTTACCAGAGCATAGAATAAATCTGTGAAATAGTCACTAATGTGTTTGAAGATGAATTTATGTTCTTCTGAATCATCTCTTTTTGCTGACCAAACATTCATTATTTTTATGACATACATTAGTTCATTGCTAGGATCTTTAAAAATCTGCATTAACAAGAATATTTCAAGGTGGTTTTTCTTTACAATAAAAAAATTGCTTCATGATGAAATCTTGACAGTAATGAAAGCTAGAATTAGTGAAAATAGTCAGCATAGGGATAAACTGTTTAAGAATAAAGAGACATGTCACTTTAGACCAGTATCACCAATAAAATTGTAAATTAAGCTCAAATGTACAGAATTGGTCACTGCAGGGCTAGGCTCCCATGAATTGTTTTAAAAATAGCTCTAACAGAGCAGATACTAAGGAGTGACAAATTTGAATTAATAGGTCCAAAAATCAAGTTGGACTTCTTTCTTCAATTAATTAGAAAATGAGCACAAAGGTTTAAGAAATGTTGTTAGTTATGATGTTCTTCACAGTGGAGATTTTGACTTAGAAAGAATCCTAAGAGTCATAGTAAAACTGAAAAGAGCAAAGTACAGAAAAAAATACTTATGCCAGTGTTTTTTTGTATAAATGCACATAGACATATACAGATTTATATTTATTTGCACAATATTTATGAATCACTCACATTTATGATTTTTAAAGGACTCTTACCACATTATAGTTTCAAACTAGTACTAGGTAATGTACAAGGTGTGTAAAATGGAGATCTGAGACTGCCATGTTTATAATGTCAGAACAACTAAAAACTGATTATTGAATTCCATTTAGAAAATAATAGTGTAGAGATCACCCATTTGACTGGTAAAAAGAGAATTGTTTACTTACCATTCATCCATTTATGTAAGTTAATTTCCATAAAGTGTTATTGTTTCAAGACACGGATATCTTACTTAGAAATAAACTCAATATATTCTTAAAGATATTAGGTACTTTAAATAAATACTTATAATAAATATCATTGTTACATAATATGTATGTCACAATAATAAGAAAAATGTTACATGTATTTTGAGAAAAGTTGTTAATTTAGAGATTGGAAAAATTGATTTTTCTCTCCTACTAGTGTACATTTTTATGTATCATGTTGTAATTGTAATTATTTACATTTACATTTTTTTTCATGTCTAATTTGCATATAGGTTCCACCTGGTGGAGTTCCTGTAGGTATTAGGTGCTGATTTTGTGACTGTTCATTGCTGTGGTTCATTTCTTTTTTTTTTTCTTTTTTCTAGTATAACTTCACTATCATTTATAAATATATCAAAAAAAACTTTATGAAAGTTTAAGTACATTTACATCATATTATTGATTATTGATTATTATACCATGAAAATTTGTAGTTCACAATGAAATTTTGTAGTTTGTAATTTCATTGTGAATTTTGATAAAGATTGTTTATTTATTTATTTATTTTTTCTATTACAGACATTAATAATTCATTACACCATTCTTTCTAAAAGACTAAATTTTAAATTGAACTTTTCTGAACTAGGTACCTCAGCAACTACTTGTTAATTAATTAAAATTTCATATTAGATGAAATTTTTTGTCATTTCCTGTTATGCTTTGTCATACCTATATATGCATGTACCTATGTAAGAATACATACATGTGCACATATGTACATATGTGAAGAAGTTTTATGTGCACATGTAAAACCATGCATATATTCTTGTGTGTGTGATGAAGTGTCTTGATACCCTTATGTACTCTAAATTGGTTTAAAATTCACTAATATCATATTTGAATTCTAAATAATGGGATGCCTTTGCTTATTTTACATTCATGTATTTGTTTACTATGGTTTTATACATGTATTTAAATTTATATTTATTTTTATGTCATTTTGAGTGTGTGTCAGAATTTATTTTACTCTTAAATAATAATATATAAGTCAATGTAGTAATAAGTCATGCTTTTAGTATATACCAAATGCATATTCTATAGTAAATATTTCCTTATGTCACAGAAGAAAATGATTTTAATCAATTATCTGTTTATATATTGATTTAGAATACTACCATTCATTTTAAATAATCCAACAGACACAACTACTACAAAATATGTATTCTCTATCATTATTTTTCTACTTGTATCCTAGTTTATGAAACTTAAAACTATGAATTGAAATGTGTTATATAAATAGAAATGTTGACTGAACTTAGCACATTTATTATAGGAATATAAAGTTCTAATATGTTTATGAAATACAAACTGAATATTATGATGCAGTTTGTCAAAGAAAGATTTAAAGTTATAAAGGGTTTGAAAGAAGGATATTTGACTTCATATATACATTGTTCCTTACTACATTTTTTACATAACTGAACTTGTCAAGATCAGCAAAACCACTGTAAATACTGTCAATCAAAACAATAGTTTTGTTGATGTCAATGCATGAACACTGAAGATTGATATTAATATTACATAAAATTTTCACAAAATGCATAAAAACATAATATACTTTCGTAAACACTCATATCACTCTTGAAAGTGGTATTATTTTTAAAAATCAAGCTAAAATATTAAACTTTGAATTATATTTTGCTGAAAATTTCCAAATATGTCTTAAGTTTTTGTACTTAAACATCAAGATACTCACCAATAGCATCTGTGTATGATATATACATCTATGTGTGTATGTATACATACATATAAAATCTACTATTTTAAGTAAATATAAATATCAAAGAGTTCTATTTCAATCATAGATTAACTGTGTAAAATAAAATGATTTATGAAAGTTCATGTATACTTCTAATTTTATATATTACATTATCTCTTTTTAAGAAATAACAATCTGTAATCATAGAGGATGTATGTATTGGTCTCTTGCTAGTTACTATAAAAGAAGTCAAGAAATGTGTATCATTTTAAATAGAAACATTTGACAATGAAATCTTAGGATTTTCAGATAATTGATAAAACAAAATGATTCCCTTTGTGACATACTGCAATAGACTATAGCCACACACATACACACAGTTTCTTACAACTCAGTGAGGTATTATAATATTATAACACCTGACACATTAAAATATTTAAAAAGCTCACGAGTATAGGAAGGAATATATCTAGCTAATTTGGTAGGGGCTACAGTTGAATGGAAGAAAAGAAATTAAAAGATAATTAAAGTATTAAGTAAATAAAGAAATATTAAAGGATTTGTACAAAAAGAAAAAAAGAAATAGTAAATAAGCCACATAGCAAAACTTGCTACTACGTATTACTGTACCTTAAAGTTATTAGTAATATGAAGTGTATTAGATGCATTGTTGTGACGTTAAGATAATTGAGAAAAAATACATTCTATTTATTTTGATATTGATGAATGCTAATATTTTTTATCATCTTTGAAGTAATAATTGAATTTTATCCTGGCAGTAAAGTGTAACAAAATAATGAGAATCTTCTAGAATGTGGTTCAAAACGTTACTTTTATAAATAAATAATTCTATTTTAAAAATTGAGTATCATATTTAATTATTCAAAATAACCCACTTTCTATCCATATCTTAAATTGATCTCATGACATTAAAATGCAAATGTCTGAAATACCTGTTTGAAAATATCAGATTGTAAGATCTCTTGCCCATTGTATTTTAATGTATGTGACTACTTTGTAATATGCAGACCAATGGAAGCTATTACCTTTAGCATTAATTTTTGCATTATTTGGAGATAAATCTTAAATCAAAATCATGGACACAGAAATTACTACAAAATGAGATATTATGAATGCATAACTTCATGTTCAAATGAAATTATTCATTTTAAATTTTTTAAAGAAATACAGATTTCAGTTTTGAAAATTTTTACAAGTTAAAGTATAGTGTGGTTTAAAGTGTGCCCACTTTTAATTGTATTAATGGGTTTTACAACTTTCTTTTTTCACATAGAAAATTTAAAAATGTGAATCCTGGTTTTATTTCCAAATGAACATTTTTTTTAACAATCTGTTACTCTCTGCTCTGTCCTATGTCCTTGATACTAGACTTAGAAAAAAAAGTTCTTTCTTATGAAACTGTGTTTCACATCATACTATTCATAGTATTTTAAAAGGTATCATATCCATAAAGATACCTTAGCTCCCTGTATCATACATTTTTATTTTTCATAGTCTTCCTCATATTCCACTCTCTCAATATTCACCTTTTGTTTGCCCCAACTGTTTTCCCTTCCCACTACACATATACCAATCCAAGTGTCCTTGTTTTATATCTGTTTTTTCTCTGAATTGCAGAGAATAATTATCATTCAGTGTTGGCAATAAAATTGTGAAGAATTTTCTGTGCCAAGTTAATTATCTCTTATTCTTGAACCTTTGAATATGCTTGAACCTCAATATGCATTATCATTTTTTCCAGGCTCTCTTAATAGATACCTGTGTTAAATTCATATTTTTTTTAAAAAATAATCTAAAATATTTTAATTAAAATAAGTGTTATGTTTCCCTTTGAAAAACCTTTGCAATAGTAAAATGAGGAGAAAGCATGATATTTATGGATAATGAATAATACATAACTGATTTTATTCCTATTTTACATTAAACCTTGAACAAGATATGAGCAGTTTATTACTACAAATGAAGTAACTGTAAAATCTTATAACTAAATTTCCGGGCTCCAATTCCCTTTTCTTACATTTATTTCTTATTTCTTGGATCCAATAAAGTTATGGAAAATATTGATATTAAGTAGTAAGTAAGAATATATTCAATTGGATTGCTTTCTATACTTTTTATTCTTTTCCTTGTTTTTTTGATATTAATTTCAGCAATATTTTTCTTTTAAAAATAGTTTTTCAATACGAGGGCTTGAATTTTTGTTCCTGTGGATGCTAGGCAACCTCTGTACCTCTCTGCTACGTCTCCAGTCTTCTAGTACATATTTTAAAATATTCTGCATTTCACACTACTGGTCACCATTTTTTGACCACCTTAGATTATTCATGAGTGAATATCTATTAACATCTCTTTTTTTCTTAGTAAATCTTAATACAGTTGTACATATATTTTGGTAACAAACATTAAAAATTAATTTTTAGGTAATTAAACTAATAGCCACATTATGTAATCAACTTTTCAACAATGAACTTTTTTTTTTAAGACAAAAGATCCAGAGCTTCACCTTTTTCTGAATGATTACACATCAGTCTTCACTGTCACGCAGACTGGTGTCACTCGCTACCTCACCCTGCTGCAACCAGTGGACAGGGAAGAACAGCAAACTTACACATTTTCGGTAAAAAATTTCATATATATGCATGTAAATGTCTTCTGTCTGTTTGAAATGGAAAGAGATGTCTGGTTAAAATTGACAAGGTCTATGATTTGAAGAGAAAACCTCAATATTTTAGGTAACGTTGAAGAAAATATCAATTGCAAAAAATTCTTCATATGTATCTCACCTTTTTCAGTATGAAAATTTGTGTAGCTACATTAATATTTTCCCCACAAAAGGAAAATACTTCTTCAGTCTTCACCATCCACTAAAAATTAATAATATAAACTAGAATTCACCAAATAATCCTGTCTTAAACTTTTTGTTGTATTTTCAATTTTGTCATAGGGTTAGGCTAGTAATTCTCAACTGAGGATTTTTTTTTTTTTACATTCAGAGAATGTTTTGTAACATATGGAGGCATTTCTGGTTGTCACAACGGAAGGGAGTGCTACTGGCCTTTAATGGGTAGATACAAAAATATGGCTCTGAAAATCTTATGACACACCGAACACCCCTTACCAAAAACTATCCAGCCCAAATGTCAATAGCATGGAGAAATCATGGGTTGGGGTTGATTAATCAAGGTTTGGGAGTGAATATTATTAAAGTTGTGATTGCACATATTTATCATGAAGTAGAAACACACACACACACACACACACACACACACACGGACTAGTATAATAAGGTTAAGAGATAAATACAGATCTAAAAACTATGTCAGATCCTTCAAAAAAGTGTAAGAAAAGATGAACAGATAACAGATGCAAGTTATTGAACTTGGGATTTCTTTCTGGACAGGCCTACACATCAAAAGACTGGAACTTCTAGAAAATCTTATTTGACAATTAGTTATGTGTCTAAACCTTATTAGACACATAGTTGATTCCAGAAGCCATTCTCACAAGAATGGATATCTGATACTTGTAGAATTGATTTTGATTGTCACGCACTCTCAATTATTTTTTTAAGTGGAGGAAAAAATCAAGGAGAACCCCTTTATTACACATTTATAGAACACTAATATATATACTATAGTTATTAAAAATGGATCAATTTTTAAAATTTTTGGTATATTGTATTTTGAATTCTTTTTTCCATCATGCTTAAAATCTTTCCAAACTTGTTTTATGTTACCAAAGTGTTCTGCAACCACTACCCCACCACAGTACAAATGAAAGAAATAAATATACAATAGGTCCTTGAAAAAGACACTATCAGAGAAACTAAATTAATCCAATAACACATTAACAATTATTGAGTTTTCAAAATTTTAGAATGTAATTATCACTAGTAACAAATGTTAATGAGCCTTTAAAATTATCATTTTTTGAATTTCTAGAATATAATGTAACATATCTAATGTACCAAATTTCTTGTCTGATAAAAAACATGTTAACTAAGAAAGTAACTATTGTATCTAAGGGGAAAAAAGACAATATGAAAATAGTAGAGACTATTAGATAAGAGGTAGGGGTGGAGGAGTAAGAGGGAGGGCAAGGAGGAAGAATGGGGGCAGGGATATGAGCCAACTATGTTATTTTCATGTACAGATATGCTGCAGAGAAACTCATTGTTCTGTATAATTAAAATGCTCCAGTAAAAAAGTAGGTATTATATTGTAATATTACACAATATTATATTTAAAATACCTAAACATGAAGAATATTTCCAATTAATTTTTAAGGATTATTTTCTATTTAGCTCTAAGGAATCAGTAATGTTATTGGTTCACTTTAAGGCTCCAAGATATTATGCATATCCCCTTATTTAAAATGTGCTTGCAGTGGAATGTGTTAAAAGTAGAACAGGATCCTTAATAATTTCTTTTTAGTACATTAAAACACTTGAATATATGCGTATATATTTTTATTACTTCCTTTCATCAACAAAACATCTTAGCACCCTTTTAAAATTGTAAATCACCTATTAAAAACTCATTAAGTTGTAAGAGTGGATTCTGTACTATTTATACTTGCATGAGTTCTCCATTAAGTGTATTTTTCTTCCTCTAAAGATAACAGCATTTGATGGAGTACAAGAAAGCGAGCCAGTTATTGTCAATATTCGAGTGATGGATGCAAATGACAATACTCCAACCTTCCCAGAAATATCCTATGATGTCTATGTATACACAGACATGAGCGCGGGAGACAGTGTCATACAGGTAAGTACCCATATGATTTAAGGATATGCACAAAACAGTTATTTCCATTGGCATTGCACAATGTATTAAGAAATCACTTAAGAAATAAAAATGAGGGCTGGGGCTGTACTGTAGCTCAGTGGCAGAGCACTTGGCTAGCATGCGTTGAGGTGCTGGGTTCGATCCTCAGCACCACATTAAAAAAAAACAATAATAAAATAAAATAAGGGCATTCTGTCCATCTAAAACTATAAAAAAATTTTAGAAAGAAAAATGAATTTCAGACTTGTATGGCTTAATTTAGCTAAAATGACTTTAAATTGATGCTCACTTTTCAAGTAAATATACATATATATGTCTACATGGACTCTAAAGTAGAATGAAGTCATTATAATAAACAGCTATTTGACTTGGTTGTATTTGATTTGAAATAATTTAACTGTTTTACACATTTATTTTAAGGGCAGGATTGTAATTAATTCATTTTTATGTCAATAGAAACTATATCCATACATCCTCTCACATATCAAATGATTTATATAATAAATAATAATAAATCTTTATTTGAAAATGAAAGAAAGGAAGGCCAACATACAATCAAGAAATAAGTGAAAAAATATGAATGAGTGAGAATTTATAAATGCACTGGGCTTTATTTGTAGTTAATTGATGGACTAAGAGAATTACATTTTTCTTTATGGGATAATCTACCTTAGGTAGCCAAATTATAGTCTATACAAATAAAGGAATGACAATTATTTTCATGTTCTTATTTAATTAAACCTGATACTCTTCTCTACAATGATATAATTGGAAATAAAACTAAGTTTATATAGAAAAACAGCCAGCAGGGAACTAGAAAATGTAACTAAGAAAACGATCATAATTATGTGGTGGAACTGTATCTCAAAAACGTTTGCCTTAAGGGATCAAAAGCTTCTTTCTGACATTTGAAGGCTACAAAAGTTAATTTCCCTTATGGATCACTTTATAAAACAGATCTTGCTTTGCATTTAAAGATTTACAGTTTATACATTTTCCTGAATTATGCAGATATAAATTGTTGTTTGTGTCTGTCTGCCTGCATTTTTTTTAAAAAAATATTTAAAAGTCAAGAAATTAAACTTTATAATTAGTATTTTTAATGTTATTCCTGGTATGAGGTAAATGAATGTTTGGCTATCAATCATCCTGCATGAGCCCAGAAATAAAATGAAATGGATTTCCCATTGAGAGAAAAAATTAAAACAAAGCACAATGGTTTAGAACTGTGATTGGCAAAAGCCCTTTTAGGGTCATGACATTGGTTGCTATGCTACACTCCCTTCTGCTCATTAACCTCACTGACCCCAAAGAAGATCAATTAGTTTTCTTTTTGGTTAGTAACCTTAATATCAAAAAGAATGAAAATATTAGAATCGAGGGTGATAATGAGCACTCTACAGAAAAAAAGAGGGTTGGATAACGTTTTAATTATTGTAATGTCATTCTCAACATATGCATGAGATTATTTTGGCCTGATGTGAGTGGACACTAAATTCCTGTAGTCCACTATTTTCTTACTACAAAAAAACTGTCATTGCCCATAGGAAGTGGATAGATTTGTCACAAACATGTTATCAGATCCTTATTGAAAACTATAAGCTATAAATTATACCACTGAGTTTTTGTATATCTCTTATGCTCGATTATTGTGAAAAGGACCAAAGTGATTCTGATTTTTATATGTGATGAATTGAAACTAAGATAAACATTATCTTAAAGCAGCACCTTTACTCCCATATCTGAAACTGTAACTGGATTATTAGCCTTTGTATAAACATTTCTCAGACATGAAGCTCTGGAATACAACTATCACTGATTCTTCACCTCAATAACAAAATTATCTAAATTTGTCAATCAATCCCAGTGCCAACATATCTGTAGTTGTCTCTTTGTTGTCTGTCTCTTCTGTCTGTGTCTATCTATCTAATCTGGATTTCACTCATATCACACCACTAATGTCATATAAAATCATATAGAATGTTTGTCTATTCTATATGTATCAAACTCAAAAGCATTTCTCATTCATTAATCTATTTGAAACTTATGTGGATTCTCAAATTTATCGAAAACTCCCTTAGTTCTCAAGCTACATCTCTGCAGGCTGAGCCATGTTATTGTTGTTGTTCAGTTCTCATGCTTTGAATGTTAATATTCCTTTAAAATCTGCTTCTTGCTCTCTCTTTCCTCTACTCCAAAATTTTCATGTAGTACCTCCATATATATACCCATGTCACTCAAAGTGACATTCCCTTTGGTAACCCTGTCCTGAGCATTGAGCTGACATCACAGAAGTCTGTTGAACTTGACCATGTGGAGTTTTGACAAGCACTTCACACTGTATATACCTAAGAGAAGTTAACTAATCCATTATCTTTCTGGCCCTCTTTGGAGGTGATTATATAATGAAGCACCCCTCTAGTCCTTAGGAGATGTAGTTGTATTTGCATCCTTCACCTACTGCATACCTTCTTATTATTTTTCAGATTATGAAATTTCTATCTTCTTTTAACCCTAAGGCAGTATTACACTAGTTATATTACTCATGTTGTGCATTAAATCTTATACTCCCATTCTACCTGTCTGCTACTATATATAGAGAGAGAAATACCTTTTCTTCCCACCTGATCCATCCTGCGATTCTACTTCAAAATGTATCTGTCATCATTTTATTTTATTTATAAAGGACTTTATTTTTAGAGAAACTTTGAGTTCACAACAAAAGTGATGGAAGGTACAGAGTTTTCTGATACATTCCCTGCCTCCCCTGTTATCCACACCCTCTACCAGAGTGGTTCATTTGACACAATTGATGAGCTTACACTGATATTTTTTAATCTTTCGAATTCTGCAGTTTAGATTAGTATTTACTCTTGGTATTTTGCAGTTTCTATGTTTTTACTAATGCATCCTAATGTGCATATAACATTATACTATCATACAAAGTAGTTGCACTGCCCTAAAAATCCTGTGCTTTCCCTTTTCAGTCCTCCCCCACCACTTCTTGACAACAACTGAATTTTTTTACTGTCTGTAGGGTTTTGCCTTTTTCAGAACAAGATACAGCAGGTACCCTTTCCAGATTGACTTCTTTCACTTTATAATATGCATTAAAGCTTTCTCCATGTCTTTTCATGGCTTGATAACCTATTTCTTTTAATGGTGAATAAAATGCATTATCTCAATATATCACAGAATGTCTATTCCTTCTCTTACAGAAGAATATCTTTGTAACTTTCACTTTTTTATCAATTATCAATAAACCTACTATAAATGTCTTATGCAGTTTTTAAGCAGTAATATTATCAATTCCCTTCTGTAAAGAACATGGAGTAGGATTTCTGAAATATATGCTAAGACCATGTTTAGTGTTTGTTTCTAATTTTTTATTGGTTCTTTTTGGTTTTACATGATAATAAAATTTATTTTGATATAATTATAAAAGCATGGATTACAATTTGTTCTGATTCAGTCTCCAGGGTCTCTCTTTCCCTTTTTTCCTCTCACTTTCTATTGCCTTCCATCTACTCTACTCATCTTTCTATTTAATTATACTTTTTAAAAAAATAATGTTAGGCTGGGGTTGTGGCTCAAGTGGTAGCACTCTCGCCTATAATGTGTGAGGCACTGGGTTGGGTTCTCAGCACCACATAAAAATAAAATAAAGATATTTTGTTCACCTAAAATTTAAAAAATAAATATTAAAAAATTAATGTCTTGTGGTTGTACACAATGGTGAGATTCACTGTGCTTTATGCATATACATATATACAGGAATGTTAGGTCCAATTCATTCTACTATTGTTCCCTATCCCATTCCTCTCCCTTCCCTTCATTCCCCTTTGTCTTATCCACAAAACTTCTCTTATCTTCCCCCACTTTATTGTGGGTTAGCCTCCACATATCAGAGAAAACATTTGACCATTGTTTTGCGGAGGTGGATTGGCTTATTTCATTTGGCATGATAGTCTCCAATCCATCCATTTACTGGCAAATGTCCTAAAGTCATTCTTCCTGATAGCTGAGTAATAATCCATTGTGTATATGTACCACAATTTCTTTGTCCATTCATCTGTTGAAGGACACCTAAATTGACTCCATAGAATAGCTATTGTGAATTGAGCTATTATAAACATTGATGTATCACTATAGTATGCTGATTTCAAATTCTTTGGATATATATCAGGTCATCTGGTGGGTTTAGTCCTAGTTTTTTGAGGACACTTCATACTGTTTTCCAGAGTAGTTGCACCAATTTGTAGTTCCACAAACAATGTATCAGTGTACCCTTCCCCCCACATTCTCACCAATATCTATTTTTACTGATATTCTTGATAATTGTCATTCTGACTGGAGTGAGATGAAATCTCAATGTAGTTATAATTTGCATTTTTTTAATTGCTAGAGATGTTGAACACTTTTCATATATTTGTTGATCCTTTGCATTTCTTCTTTTGAGAATTGTTTATTTCCTTTGCTCATTTATTAGTTGAATCATTTTTTTGATGTTAAGTTGGTTGAGTCCTTTATATATCCTAGATATTAACATCCAATCTGAGAGACAGGTGCAGAGATTTTTCTTCCATTCTTTAGGCTGCTTCTTCATGCTCTTAATTGTTTCCTTTGCCGTGAAGAAGTTTTTTATTTTGGTGTCATTCATTTATTTATTTCTAATTTTATGTCTTGTACTTTAGAGTCTTGTAAGAAAAGCAGTTCCTGAGCTAATATGTTGGAGTGTTGGGCCTACAATTTCTTCTAGAAGTAGCAGGGTTTCTGATCTAATTCCTAGGTCTTTGGTATACTGTGAGTTGAGTTTTCTGCAGGGTGAGTCATGGAGTTAAATTTCAATCTATTATGTATGGATTTTGAGTTTTCCCAGCACCATTTGTTAAAAGGCAATTTTTTTATCCAACATTTTTGGCAACTTTGTCTAGTTTCAGATAACTTGTATCTATGTGGGTTTGCATCTGCTTCTTCTA